CCATGAAAAGGAAATGGTGTTTAATTAAGTGTTTTGTCTTTAATCACTGATACAGTAAAACATATTTAAAAATATGAAATCTTGACCGAAGTTTTCAGTAAATAACTGGAAGTTTGAACTTTTTTGTTAATCTGGGATCAGTCGCTGCAGAGATTCTAACACGTGAGTGAGCACCAATGGGTATGGAATACCAAGAATGTGCCTCTGATATAAATAGCTACCTGACAAAGTTGTTGAGTGAATAGAATACGCCACTGACAGTTAAAGTCAAGATCTTGGTACTGTTGCTGTCTATAGTTGCGTGGTGTTACAAAACTTGAGCACTGCTTACAAAAGAAATATTGTAGCTTTTCACCTTGCATTTATTGGGACAGACACAAGAACTCAAAATTTCACAGGGAACAATCATTTATACCGCGTGAGAAAAGGGTGCTGGCTAATCGACAAGTATATTGTTAGTAAATTGAAACAAAATGGTCCAAGCCATCAGGAATTATGTATGAAATATTAGATTTGTCCCCTCATAATGTGGTAAAATTCCATGAAATGTATCATGGTAGTGCAGTAGGTACTGAAGTAGACAGAATGGTGATGTTTCAAAGGTGTGGCAAAATATGATTTTGGATGAAAGAGTCAAACAAATGACTGATCACCCAAAATCCCAAAAAGCCCAGCAAAGTATCATTTGGCATTTAATGATCCATGACCGTTTTCATAATCAACACCTGACCATGTATCCCAAATCCGTGCCTTTACTCATTCTATTCTACTTTCTATGCACTTCACTGGTGCCACCACAACTGACGATTTCTAAATCTTTAACTAAATCTGTACTGGCAAAGCCTGTTTCAAAATACAGCATTTTTCCCTGTATTTTTTCATGGGTTGTTTGTGTCACTGGCAAAGCCTGCATTTGTTGCCCATTCCTAATTGTCCTTGAACTGAGTGTCTCGTTAAACTGCTTCATAGGAAAACTGAATCCATCACATTGTTGTAGGTTTTGGGTGGCAGGTAGTCCAGACCAAGAAAGGATAGCTGATTGCTTTCCTTCAAAGACATAAGTGAATACATGTTTTTGATGACAATTGACAATTTCATAACCACCACTACTGAGATTAACTTTTAACTCCAGTCTTATCTTTTAATTGAATTGAAATTCACAGCGGTCATTGTGGGAATTGAATCCATGTTCAGGCAGCGTTAATCTGAGCCACTGTATTCTTAGTGGAGTGGCACTACAATTACATTAACATCGTATTACACACGTGTACATCTCTAATATCTTCTATATTTTAAACTAATTTCCCCATTTAAAGACATTTCCATTCCCTTTTAAAACCTGGTTTCCAACTTATCCATACATGTTCTTTCAAGCCTGCTGGACTTTTGATAACATACCCAATATTCAACTCTTCACATAAGAATATAAGATCTACTACAAGGAATAGGTAGTTCAGCTACTCAAGCTTGCTCTATAGTTTGATATGATTGTGGTATGATCATGGCTCACATGACTCGTCATCTGTTAAGTCTAGAAAATGAACCTTAGTCAGCTATTCTTATGCTGAGGTGAGGTAAACCCAATTCTATCCTTGACTAATCTCTTTATATATTAACTTTCAGGGAGGCTAACTGGGCAATGATCAAGAGGTGGAACTATGCCTGTGTTTCCCAATTCACGGTTCAGCAGTGTAGCATCTATACCGCTATCCCAGGTAAGATTATTTAACAGATATTAGGAATAGGTTAGGTCATGATAATCATCAAGATTTTCAATTACTCCTTCTCATGCACTGCAGTCACATATTAAAAATGTTTCTTTCCATAACCCAGTGGAGGGAGCCTTAGGGCTGTTTCTACTTCTCCCCAGTGCCTCAGAACAATGCAGAGAGACTTTACGCCCAAAAGCAAAATACTGTGGATGTTGGGAATCTAAAATAAAAACAGAAAATTCTACAAATTCTCAAGTTTGATAGCATCGATAGACAGAGAAACAGAGTTAATTTTCAGATTTCATCTTCCTTCTGCTTGTTCTGCTGAAAGGTCTTCTCTCTTCACAGAAACTGCTAAGCCCGTCAGCTATTTTGACATTTCACATCCAACCATCTTATAGCCACTTAAAATTTCATGTGCACCCACCCCAAGAATATCACTTCAAACTAAAAGAATGTGGATGAAGAGTATGGAAGATGTCACAATACTGTTTAGAAATACTGGCACAGAATACCATGATGAGTAATTAAGAAACAGCGAACTTACTGTCATATGAGAGGATATGGCCACTATTACTTTCGTAGATGACATGGCCTTTTGATATTGCCTCTTCCCTGGACTGCTCAGGGCTGCCTGATTCTTCAGCGGCTAATTTGCTGATTGCACCCTTCAACAATGTGTCTGCAGCAATACCCTGTTGTGAGAGGCCTGGAGTGCCCTGCAAATAAAACACATCTTCATTTTATTCTCATTTAACTTTCTCTCTCTTTATGTTTAATCAACAGTTCTTTTCAGTGGTTCAGGGCTTCAGTTGAATTTTGAAGCTTTGCTCCCACAGGCTCTGCTCATCCTGAGTGAGCTTTACTAGGGCAAATGGAGTAAATTCATTTTCCAGAGAGGCAGAGAAATCCAAGATACAGATTGCTGTTTACACTAAGGATCCAATTGGGAGGGGCACAGGATTTCTATCCCTGCAGTTCTAATCTTCCATCAATCAATCCAGTCATGAGCATAGTAACTTGAAGAGTTTGCCAAGATTGGATTTGGACAGAAGCTATATCCTCCTTTTTTGCCTGGCATTGCTTTAGATAATTGCCATGTATTTTTCAAGTGCTCTCCTACAGGTTTCCAGATTAATGGATTTGATTTCACCAGTTGTCCTTAGTGGGAGCTAGCAGCTCAATCTCTGGGTTGCTAGTCTTGTTATTGCAGTTCTTCATAGGGGCCCAGAAGTTTGGAACTCATTGGATTTCTGTCAGTGTGTTTAAAGTACAAGCTCACAATCAAAAATTTTCTTTTGTCTTTGTTAGGAACAGTCAGCCATTCTGCTCTTTCAGCCTGCCACAACACTCAGTAAGTTTATCACTGATCTGGTTGTGGTCTCAACTCCTCCTTCTCACTCCCAAACCCTTTTCCAACAAAATCTGTCTAATTCAGCCTTGGATCAATTCAAAGACCCAGTCTCCACTATCTTCTGAGGAAAGGAATTCCCTGTCCAGCCCTCTCAGGGAATGTTTAAATAAAGTCACCCTCAAATCTTCAAAATTCCAAAGGGTTTAAGCGAGGTTAATTCATCCTTGCACCATAAAATAAGTCCTTCAGCACAGAAACAATCTCATGACGCTTCTCTGAATTGGTTATAATACAATTATACAATTTTTCAAACAAAGAAGCCAAATTGTACATAGCACTCATGACATGGTCTCACAATGCCCTTTACAGCTGCTGCAATAACTACTTTTTTCATTGCTTTTGTATTCAATTTCCCATGCAATAAATGTCAACCTTCCACTTATCTTCCGAATCACTTGCTGTACCTGCATACCAACGTCTGGTGATTCATATACTAGACACCAGATCCCTCTGCTGATTGAGTATTATATTTTAGTTTCTGCAGAGTTTAAAGAAAAAAGACTGAGTAGCTAAGAATGATTCCTTGGATATGTGTTCCTTGGTTAAGTATTGATACTCTCAGTGGGGGTACCAGGGAAACCGCTGACACTCTCAGTAACTATCTTTAGGAGAATCAATATTTCTAGCAGGTTCACCACAAAGAAACATGTGAAAGCCTAGTATGGGAAACAGCGAAATCTGACCGAACAGGCAAGGGTACAGACTGGAGCGCAGACTCTCCACACAATATACGTGTAACTTTCAGATAGTCTACACTGACCACTTTAACTAGCGAAGTGGATATGAATGTGTTACATGTAAATACCTGAGTGATGGAACCTCGATAAGGAGGTGGTTCCGCAGAAACCTTGCTTGCTGGGCTGCTTCGTGTTAGACTTGCTTCCTGGATGTTTCCCATTGGACCACCTGTATGAAGAGCAGTAACAACATCAGACTCTCCTCACGAGTTACCACATCATGCAAATGTGTTGCTTCAGTAACAATAATCAAAGCAACAAAATGCTTTGTTTAGAACAAAAGAGGAAAACAATTAAAAAGTAACATTTGTGGTTTACTTACTGGGTTTTCGGCCTGCCTCTTTGAACTTGGTGAATACAAGCACATTTAAAAATTGTCGAATCATAGGAATTACAGTACCAGCTGTGGCTATTTGGCCAGCAAACAAATACTAACTCTCTGAAATAGTAGATGTGCTTAATTTCAAGTAAGATTGGGAAGGGGATGATCCAGTGGTCATGGCCCACCTTGGTAGCAACAAAATAGATACAGCTAGGAAACAGGTTCTGGCTGAGAGAGCACAGTTTGGAGCTAAAATAAAAAGCACAACCTCACAGGTAATAATCTCTGGATTGCCACCTGAGCCGTGTGCAAACTGGCACTGGTAGATCAAATTTGGATAAATGTAACAAATCAAGGAATAGAGTTGCGGCACGAGGGAAAATTCTAATGTGAAAAATAAAAGGTCGTAAGAATAGCAGAAGGGGACTGAAAGAAAACAAAACTAAGAATATGCCAGCAATCAAGACTAAATACTTTAAAAGGTAACAAATAATAAAACTAAAAGCTGTGTACCTAAATGATTGTAGCATTCATAACAAAGCAAATGAATGATCTGATAGCATGCAATGAAGTGAAAAATATGATCTGATAGCTATTACCGCTGCAGGATTACAAGGATTAAGTTCTGAATATTGAGGGGTATAGGGAATGTAAGAACAGGAAGCTCGCTAAAGGTGTGAGTCACATTCCTAAATTAAGTTGCTATTGAAGAGTTAGGAATGACCTTGCTTTGAGATCAGAATATAGAATTGATTTGAGTTGAGATGAAGAATAGTAGGAAAAAGAAGTCACTTGTGGGAGTGATCTGCAGGCCTCCAGATAAAAAAAACACAATGCAGGAAGTACACATCTAGTAACATTGGGTAGCCTGATAGGGGGTTGGCCATCATGAATAGTTCATAATGCATTCAGTTCAGTTTCCGAGAACAATGTGGTTTTGTTCCAACCAGGGGTTAGGCTATTTTAGATCTTGTAATGTATAATGAAACAGGTTTAATAAATGTCTTCAGAGTAAATGATCCCCAAGAGAACAGTGATCGTAACATGGTACAATTGAGCATTCAGTTTGAGAGTGAGAAATGTGGGATAGAAACAAACAAACTTAACTAAACTTGAATAAGTGGTAAACTTAAATAAGGGCAATCACATAGGCATGATGGCTGAGCTGGTTGGAGGGGACTGGAAAAGGAATTTAGCAGACAAGACAGTTAAAGAAGAGTGGCAGACATTTAAGATAATAGTTTATGACTCACAACAAAGCTATATCCCAGCAAGAATGAATTTTAGGAAGGTTATAAGCCAACCATGGTAAATTAAGGAAGTTAAGGTGCATGTCAAATTGAAAGAAAAAAAAAACCATAAAATGCAACAAAGATTAGTGGTAAACCAGAAGATTGGGAAATCTTAAAAAAAAAAGACAAAAAAAAGGGAGAAAATAAACTGACAACAAACTAGCCAGTGATACAAAAATGAACAGCAAGAGCTTCCTTAAACAGCTACATAGGGGGGAAAAAAGTGGTCAAAGTCAACACAGGCTCTTAGAAAATGAAGCTGGGGAATAATAATGGGGAACCAGTAAATGGCAGAAGAGTTGAATAAATACATTGTATCAGCCTTCATGGAAGAGAATATTAACAACATTTAAAAAATATTAAATAATAAAAGGGCAAAAGGGGAGATGAAATAAACACTGTTGAAAATTATTAGGGAAACTAATAGGGCTAAAGGCTGATAAAGTCCCCTGGACCTGACGGGTCGCATCCCAGGCTTTTAAAGGCAGCACCTACAGCGATTGCAGGGGCACTGGTAGCAATCTTCCAAGAAACCTTAGATTTAGCAAAAGTCTCAGAGGATTGGAAAACAACCAAAGTAACACACCATTATTCAAAAAGGGTGGCAGACGAAGAAAGGTAATTATAAGCCAGTTAGCTTTAATTGCCAGGATGTTAGAGTCTCTTGTAAAGGGTGGTAACCACAAAGCATTTTGAAATACATAATTTAATTAAGCAGAGTTAACATGGCTTCACAACAGGGAAAGCATGCCTGTCAAATTTATTAGAATTCTTTGAGAAGGTAACATGCAGGATAGAGAAAGGGAAAGCAGTGGATGCAATGCATTTGGATTTTCAGAAGGTGTATGATAAGGTGCCACACATTAGGCTACTTAAGAGATGAGCCTATTGCGCTGTAGGCAGCACATGAACACGTATTGAGGATTGACCAACTACAAGGAGAAAGAATTGAGACAAGGGGTACGTTTTCAAGATGGCAACCTGTAGCTAGCAGAGGGATCAGTGCTGGGGCCACAAATATTTACAATATATACTAATGTCTGGGATCAAGGAAGTGAATGTACTATCACTAAGTTTGTGGATGATACAAAAGTAGGCAGAGAGGCAAGCGGTGAGGATGACACAAAGAGTCTACAAAGACAGGTTAAGCGAATTGCACAAACTTGGAAAATGGAATATAATGTGGGATATTTTTAAAAACTTGTTCATGGGAGTGGGCCTCACTGGCTGGGCCAGCATTTATTGCCCATTCCTTTTGTCAGGAGGACAATTAACAGCCACCTACATTGCAGAAGGTTTGGAGTCACATATAGGCCAGACCAGGTAAGAATGACCGATTTCCTTCCCTAAAGGGCATAAGTGAACCAAATAGGTTTTTACAACAATTGACAACAGCTACATAGTCACCATTTGACTAGATTTTTATATAATTCGGATATTACCATCTAACCTAGGTAGACTTAAACCTATGTCGTTCGAACATTAGCCCAGGGTTCTAGATTATTAGTGCAGCAACATTACAACTATATGACCAAATCTCTCCAGCTGTAAGGTTATGTACTTTGGCAGCAAAATAGAATAGCTGAATATTATTTAAATGGGAAAGACTGCGGAAAAGCTGCATCACATAGTTTTAGGGGTCCTTGTGAATGAATTGTAAAAAACTAGCATACTAATTCAGCAGGTAATGGGCAAGGCAAATGGACTGTTGGCCTTTGTTCCGAAGGGAATAGATTATTAAATAGGGAAATCTGGACAAAGTAGTAGTCAGATCACACCTGGAATGTTATGAACATTTTTGGTCCCCTTATCCAAAGGAAGATACACTGGAATTGGAAGCAGTCCAGATTGATTTCAGGTATGGAGGGATTTTCTTCGGAGGAATTGTTGAGTAGGTTGGGACTGTACTTATTGAAGCTTAGAAGAATGAGAGGAAACCTTGAAACATACAAGATACTTAGGACGCTTGACAGGATAGATTTGGAAAGATTGTCCCACAGGGGAAACAGTCTCATTCCAGACAGCATAATCTCAGAATAAGAGGCTGTACATTTAAGACAGAAATGAGGAGGAATTCTCTCTCTCAGAAGGTAGTGAATCTGTGGAATTCTTTACTGTAGAGGGTGTCGAGGCTTAAGTATATTCAAGACCAAGATAGATAGGTTTTTAACTGGTCAGGGAATCAAGGTTTATGGGGATAAGGCAGGAAAGTGGAGTTGAGGATTATTAGATCAGCCATGGTCTCATTGAATGGCAGAGCAGATGCGATGGACTGAATGGTCTACTTCTGCTCCCACATCTTATAAATACAAGTCCTGGTCACAAGGAATCTTGACCACATCATTGGTCATTACAGGTTAGAACAAAGAACAGTACAACACAGTACAGGCCCTTCAGCCCACGCTGTTGTGCCGACCTATTATCTTACTCTAAGATCAAACTATCCTGCATACCCTACATTTTACTATCCTCCATGTGCCTATCCAAGAGTCGTTTAAATGCCCCTAAAGTATCTGACTCCACTACCTCCACTGGCAGCGCATTCCATGCATCCAGCACTCTGTGTAAAGAACCTACCTCTGACATCTCCCTACCTCCACTCACCTGAAAATTATGCGCCCTCGTAACAGTCATTTCCGCCCTGCGAAAGTGTCTCTGGCTATCCACTCTATCTATGCCTCTCATCATCTTGTAAACCTCTATCAAGTCACCTCTCATCCTTCTTCGCTCCAATGAAAAAAGCCCTAGCTCCCTCAACCTTTCCTCATAAGACCTGCCCTCCAGTCCAGGCAGCATCCTGGTAAATCTCCTCTGCACCCTCTCTAAAGCTTCCACATCTTTCCTATAATGAGGTGATCAGAACTGAACACAATATTCCAAGTGTGGTCTAACCAGGATTTTATAGAGCTGTAGCATAACTCTGTGGCTCTTAAACTCAATTCCTCTGCCAATGAAAGCCAACACACCATACACCTTCTTAACAACCCTATCAACTTGGGTGGCAACTTTGAGGGATCTATGGACATGGACCCCAAGATCCCTCTGTTACTCCACACTGCCAAGAATCCTGCCATTAACCCTGTATTCTGCATTCAAATTCGACCTTCCAAAATGAATCACTTCACACGTTTTTGATCATCGTTATCTCTGATCAATTAACAAATGATCATAGTTAACACTGTGAAGCAGACGTGATCACAGGCAATCTTAAAAGTGGCACCTGCAGGCCACAATTCACAAAGAAAATCTGAGATCTCTGGGCTGATTATTCTATCCACGAACTGTTTAGTTTTTTTACAAAGTTTCCTCGCACGTAGTGCTGCAATTCTTGCATGGCTTTAAGTTTCATTGGGGGATGGGGAGCTGGGTATCACTTTTTCTACCACACTCATGATCCTTTACTGTATTTGTATGGTATGGCTTGTGTTGCATACAGTGGAATAAGACATTCATGCTGCTTGTTGTCAGAGTCCCCCATGTCCCACTGTATGGAGTACTATGATAAACTATCATTTATGTGAGATATAAATGCCAACTGATTACATTACCCTTCTTATTGTTTCTGATTTACCAAAAAGAGACTCATTGGAAATGTGACTGATGGATCCAGCTGCAGGAGGAGTTATAAAAACTAAGAGAACTGTGGATGCTGTAAATCAGGAACAAAAACAGAAGTTGCTGGCAAAGCTCAGTAGGTCTGGCAGCGTCTGTGAAGAAAAAAAGAACATCAGTTCTGAGAAAGGGTCACTGGACCCGAAACATTAACTCTGATTTTTTTCTTCATAGATGCTGCCAGACTTGCTGAGCTTTTCCAGCAACTTTGTTTTTGTTCCAGAATTTAAAAGTTCATTCTTTTGGATGGTTGATAGATTTTGGAGTTCTCTGCCTCAGAAGGCAGGGGAGGTGGGGTAATTGAATATTTCTAAGGCAGAGGTAGATAAAGTTTGGATAGATAATGGAATCAAAAGTGACTGGGAGTAGGTGAAAACATGGAATACAAAACACAAATAGGTTAGTCTATGATCTTACTGAATTGTGCAGCATGTGTGAGGGGTTGAATGATCTACAAACATGCTGAATTCATACGTTTGTCACCTGGAATTGCCCAGGATAGAGCCACAATACACCTACATTCACAACTGAGGATGAACGAGTTAGGAGTGTTTGATTTATTTATTGTCACTTGCATTTTAGAGTGAACAACACAGTAAAATACAGTGAAAAGCTTCAACAGTCACTACAATCTGGCCCCATTTTGAATACTTTAACAATAAAAAGGATAAAAGATATAATTGAGAGTCCTGAGCTGGCTCAGTAATGACATCTGTGGCACCACCCCTCCTCCATAGCCTCGCTGCTGCTTGCGCCGGGACCACCAACGTAGGAGTCATCACTCTTTAGGCACCATCTCTTGGCTGCTGTGCCCATCTCACTGGAACCAACGCAAGGTCCCATGCTGATCGCGCACACGTCCCACAACCAGAAGTCCCCAGCTCCAGGCACACCACACTGCTGCTGCTGCAGCCACTGCCACCTCGCCAACATCAGTAGTACCTGCTCTAGGTCTACTGCAACCAGGAATTTCTGGCTCCACTGCCAGACTAGACCAGGCTGTCGCCGTCTTGCCAAGAGTCCTGCTGCGGCCACCCTCCTCTGAGATGTTGCCTTGTTGGTGCCACCATCTTGAAAAGCCCACTGCCACCATCACCTCTGAATGGGGAGGAGCATTGCTGTTGTTGCCAGTCCTGAATGCTGGGAGATGTCTCTGCTGCCACTTCCGCCACAGCCTCCAGTCACTGTGAGGAACCGTGTCTGCTGCTGACTGCTGGGTGGAGCTGCCATTCTGCACACGGTTCACTCTAGCTGCCACGCCAATTTTGCTGACTAACCCGCTGCAAAAAGCTCCAAAGAAAAGAAAATTGCAAGAAAACAAAAAGAAACAACAACAGAAGTGGAAAGAAAGAGAAAAAAAATCAGCAAGCAAGCACGCAGGGGCAGATAAGCACTGGGCACGAGCCTGCATGCAGCCCTGCTACTCTGCCACCGTCTTGGATTGGAGTTGAAAAGCTCTTCACCACAACCTTTAAAAATTACATGGATGAGCACTTGAAATGTTGTAACGTTCAAGGCTTTGGGCCAACTACTGGAAAATGGGATTAGTGTGATGAGTCGGAATAGATGTGATGGTTCAAAGGGTCTCCTCTGTGCAGTGTGACTAAATTCCATATGACAGCACCATAATAGTATTCCTAATCAAACCTCTCCTGTCCAGCTTCAACTGCTGACCTCTGTGTTGAACTGTGGACAGCGGTGTGCATGTGGGCATTTGGAACCTCTAAATCTGTTTTGAATATAGACGAAATCACTGATGTAAATGCGGATGGAGTAATTCCCATTAAGTGCAAGTAATTGAATACAGCTACCCTGCTGACTTGCTCCAGCATTCATTTTTCAAAATTTTCATTCATGTGGATGAGAGGGTCACTATTTATTCACTAAGTTAACATTTATTCCTCATCACTAATTAACCAGAAGGCAGTTAAGAGTCAACCACATTGCTGATGGTCTGAAGTCACATGTAGGCCAGACCAAGTTAAGGATGACAGATTTTCTGCCCGGAAGGACGTGAGGGAACTAGATGAGTTTTTACTACACTTAACAATGGTTATATAGTCACCATAAGGCTAATTTTCAATGTCAAAATTTATGGAAGTCAAATTTCACCATCTGCCCTTCGGGGAATCTGGATTCCTAGTCCAGTGACATTACACCACTGCCACCCAATTGCTATTGTTTGAAGGATTCTGTGCTCTCCGAAACAGGAACCCTTAAAACAGGAACTTGAATTGACCATTCAGCCCCTCGAGCCCATTCTGCCATTCAAAGAGATCAAGGCTGATCTGTGGCCTAACTTCAGATGGCTGCCTTTGGCCCATATGCCTTAATACCTTTGCTTAACAAAAAATCTCGCGTTTAAAATTTAAGAACCAACCCAGCATCCTCTGCCATTTATGGAAGAGAGTTCCAACCTCTATTTTAGTAGGTGTGTGGAAGTTCTTCCTAACATCTCTCCTGAATGATCTCGTCCTAATTTTTAGACTATGACCCTAGCTCTAGAATCCCCTATCAGTGGAAATAGTTTATCTTCATCTACCCTGACTTTTCTGATTAATATCTGGAAGACCAATTAGATCACCCCTTAACCTTCCAAATCCTAATTTGTATAAAAACTGAGAAAACTGCAGATGCTGGAAATTAGAAACAAAACCGAAATTGCTTGAAAAGCTCAGCAGGTCTGGCAGCAAGTGTGGAGCGAAATCAGAGTTAATGTTTTGCATCCAGTGATCCTTCCTCAGAACACTACCTCCTAATTTGTATAATCTCTCCTCATAACTTAACTCCTTAAATCCAGGTACGATTCTCATAAACGTACATTGTATTCCCAAGGCCGATAGATCTTTCCATTTTCCTCTTACCTCTGACCACATTTGTCTCATAAGTAGCCCTGGAGAGTAGTCCTTCTGGCTGGGGATTCTGACTTCTGGGAGACAGCTCCTCTTGCTTAATAAACTGTAATGGACCTAGAACATCAGAAATAAAGTACTGTGTGAATACATTTCTTTCTCGTGTCCCAAATCAAGAATGCTTCTTGAACTTGTCTCAAGTCTTAGAACAAAAAGAAGTTAATGGATATGATTTTATTAGTCATTACAGAGGCATGGAGACAAGAGATCAAAGGTGAAAGTAAATATTCAAGGTATGTTCATTTTCAAAAGGACAGGCTGGTAGGGTAGTTTTGTTAGTACGAGATGGGACATGAATGATGGCAAGAAATAACCTCTGATCAGAAGTTGTAGATTCCAGATGGGTGGAGATGCAAAATAACAAGGGGAAAGTGACTTTGGTCACATCATTAAACCTGTGAGATGACACATTTTGAGAGGACTAACAAGGCAAGGGAGTACATGTTGAATAGTGGGACCCTAGAAACTGCCAAGGGTCAGGGGGACCTTGGTGTGCATGTCCTTAGATCCTTGAAGGCAGCAGAACAGTGGTCAGATAAAATACTGGCGAGGTATTGAATACAACTGCAAGGAGGTTATGAAGAAGCTGCATTTAATGGTAGTTAGGTCATTGCTGGAATACTGTGCGCATCTTATAATGACAGCATATTACAGGAAGGATTTGACTGTACTAGAGAGGGCAGAGAAGAGATTCACCAGGATGTTGCCTGGGCTGGAGGAAAAGGTGGTGAAGTTGCATTGTATTATTGTTGAAAGAAGAAATTACCTCAATAGTGAGGAACGATATTCACTCTGACTATGTGAAATCAGTACAAAGTGAGTTGAGAAACACAATGAGGCAAAAAAGTATTACTGAGTGCATGTAGAGGTGTAGGTATGATGCTGTAAATGGCATTAAACAGACATTAGAGATACATACAATAAACAAGCTGCTGTAATTATAGGTGACTTTAATCTGCATATAGATTAGGCAAATCAAATTAGTAACAATACCACTGGAGGAGTAACCCCTGTAGTGTATACAGAATGGTGCTCTGGATCATTATGTTGAGCATCCAACTAGAAAGCAGGTCATCCTAGACTGGGTATTGTGTAATGAGAAAGGAATAATTGGCAATCTAGCTGTCTGAGGCCCTTTGGGGATGAGTGATCATAATATAATGAATTCCTCATCATGATGGAGAGTGAGGTATTTGATTCTGAGACACAGGGTCCTGAATTTAAACAGAGGAAACCACAATGGTATGAGGCGTGAGTTGATAGTGACAGATCACGATACGAAGGCAATGGCAAACATTCAAAAAGCACATGAATGAACTTTAACAATTGTTCATTCCTGTCTGGTGCAGAAGTAAAATGGGAAAGGTGGACAAACCATGGCTTACAAGGGAAGAAAGAAGTAGTTTTAGACCCAAGGAAGAGGCATACAAATTGGCCAGAACAGAAACAACAAACCTGAGGAATGGGAGCAGTTTAGAATTTAGCAGAGGGCAAAAGGATTGATCAAGAAAGAGAAAATAGCGTACAAGAGCAAACTCGCAGCGAACATAAAAACTGGCTGACAAAGTTTGTATTGGTATATGAGAAGAAAAATATTGAAGACAAATCTCTTACAGTCAGAAACAAGATAATTTATAATAGGGAACAAAGAATGCTGACCAACTGAAAAGGAGGACACTGATAACATACTCGAAATGTTGGGCAAGACAGGGATTAGTCAGACAGATGAACTGAAGGAAATGAGTATTAGTTGGCAAATGTTGTTGGGAAATTGATGGGATTGAAAATTGATAAATCCCCAGACCATGATAATCTACATCCCAGAGTACTTAAGGAAATGTCCCTAGAAATACCAGTTGAATTGGGGGCCATCTTCCAAGATTTTAAAGAATATCAAACAGTTCCTACAGATTGGAATGCAGCTAATGTAACCTCTCCATTTAAAAAGACAGGTAGAGAGAAAACCAGGAATTATAGACCAGTCAGCCTGATGTTAGTAGTGGGTAAAATGGTAGATTCCATTTTAAAAGATTTAATAGCAGAGCCCTTGGAAAATATTTATCATTCAGACAGAATCATAATGGATTTACAAAAGGCAAATTTAAACGTTACTGAGATGGATAGAAAACTGGTTAGTCGACAGGAAACAAACACTAGTAACAAACATTGAACAATATAGCGCAGGAATAGGCCTTTTGGCCTATCATGTCTGCACTGACCATATTGTCATTCTAAACTAATCCCATCTATTATACGTGATCCATACCTCCCTATTCTCTGCCTGTTTGTGTGTCTGTCTGAGTGTCTGTTAAAAGACGTGATCATATCTGCTTCTACCACATCTCCTGAGAACGCATTCCAGACACCCACCACCCTTTGCAAAAAAACGACTTGCCTCACACATCTCCATTAGAACTTGCCCACTCTCACCTCAAACCTGTCACCTAGTATCCCTGGTATTTACGAAGCACTTGGAAGTTAAGGGTAAAATAGGGCATAGTCAGCTTCATTAAGGGAGAGGGAGGTCATACCTGACAAATCTGTTAGAATTTGTTGGCATAATGAACAAATAAGATAAAAGACAGCCAGGGTTGTGACCTATTTGGATTTCCAGAAGGCTTTGACAAGGTGCTGCACAGGAGGCTGCTGGATAACAGTGCATGGTGTTCGGGGCAGGTAATATTGAGAAGTGGGGAGACTGTAGAAGGTCTCGGACATGCTAGGTGAGTGGGCGAGAAGTGGCAGATGGAATACAATGTGATAAAGTGTGAGGTTATACATTTCGGTAGGAAGAATAGAGGCATAGAGTATTTTCAAAGCAGGGAAATGTTTTGGAAATCTGAAGTGCAAAGGGACTTCAGACTCCTAGTTCAGGATTCAGGTTAACATGTTAGCAGTTAGGATGGCAAATGCAACATTGGTATTCATTTCAAGTGGGGAATAAAACAACAGCAGAGATGTACTGCTGAGACTGTATAAGGCTCTGGCCAGACAGCATTTGGAATATTATGATAAGTTTGGTGGCCTGTATCAAAGGAAACATGTTCCAGCGCTGGAGGGGGCCCAGAGGAAATTTACAAGAATGATCCTGGGGACGAAGAACTCATCATTTGAGGAGCTGTCGAGGGTGATAGGTCTGTACTCAATGCAGTTTAGAAGGATGAGAGGGGGATCTGAAAGGTAGACAAGTCTCCTGGCCCTGATGAAATGCATCCCAGGGTACTAAAAGAGGTGATAGGGGAAATAGCAAATGCACTAGTAATTATTTACCAAAATTCACTGGACTCTGGGGTGGTTCCCACAGATTGGAAACCAGCCAATGTGACGCCACTGTTTAAAAAAGAAAGTAGACAAAAAGCAGGTAACTATAGGCCAGTTAGCTCAACTTCGGTAGTGGGGAAAATGCTTGAATCTATCATTAAGGAAGAAATAGCAAGACATCTGGATTTAAATTGTCCCATTGGGAACACCCAGCATGGGCTCATGAAGGGTAGGTCATGTTTAACTAATTTGGTGGAATTCTTTGAGGACATTACTTGCATGGTGGACAATGGGGAACCTGTGCATGTGGTGTATCTGGATTTCCAGAAGGCATTTGACAAGGTGCCACACCAAAGGCTGCTACATAAGATAAAGTTGCACTGTATTACAGGTAATGTATTGGCATGGATAGAGGATTGGTTGACTAGTAGAAAGCAAAGAGTAAGGGGTAAATGGGTGTTTTTCTGGTTGGTGGTCAGTGACTAGTGGTGTGCCTCAGGGATCAGTGTTGGGACCGCAATTGTTTCCAATTTACATAGATGATTTGGAGTTGGGGACTAAGTGTGGTGTGTCAAAGTTTGCAGATGACACTAAGGTGAGTGGTAGAGCAAAGTGTGCAGAAGACACTGAAAGTCTGCAGAGGGATATAGATAGTCTAAGTGAGTGGGCAAACGTCTGGCAGATGGAGTACAATGTTGATAAGTGTGAGGTCATCCATTTTGGTAGGAATAACAGCAAAATGGACTACGTTTTAAATGGTAAAAAATTGCAGCACGCTGCTGTGCAGAGGGACTTGGGTGTCCTTGTGCATGAATCGCTAAAAGTAGGATTGCAGGTGCAGCAGGTGATTAAAAAGGCAAATGGAATTTTGTCTGTCATTGCTAGAGGGATGGAGTTTAAAAACAGGGAGGCTATGCTTCAGCTGTATAGGGTCCTGGTGAGGCCACACCTGGAGTACTGTGTGCAGTTTTGGTATCCTTACTTGAGAAGAGATATACTAGCACTGGAGGGGATGCAGAGGAGATTCACTCGGTTGATTCCAGAGTTGAAAGGGTTGGATTATGAGGAGAGACTTAGTAGACTAGGATTATACTCATTGGAATTCAGAAGAATCATAGATTTGTGAGGGGTAGATCATGCCTCACAAACTTTATTGAATTCTTTGAAGAGGTGACCAAACACGTGGATGAAAGTGGAGCAGTGGATGTGGTATACATGGATTTAAGTAAGGCGTTTGATAAGGTTCCCCATGGTAGGCTCATGCAAAAGGTAAGGAGGCATGGGATAGGGGGAAATGTGGCAGATTGGATTCAGAATTGGATGACCCTTAGAAGACAAAGGGTGGTATTGGACGGAAAATATTCAACATGGTGTTCAGTTATGAGTGGTGTACCACAAGGATCTGTTCTGGGTCCTCTTCTATTTGTGATTTTTGTAAATGATTTGGATGAAGGAGCGGAAGGGTGGATTAGTAAGTTCGCGGACAATACGAAGGTGGGTCACGTTGTGGACAGTGAGGAGGGCTGTTCTAGGTTACAAAGGGACATTGATAGAATGTAGAGCTGGGCTAAGAAGTGGCAGATGGAGTTTAACCCTGAAAAGTGTGAGGTGATTCATTTTCGAAGGACAAACTTGAAAGCAGAATACGGGGTTAACGGAAAGATTCTTGGCAGTGTGGAGGAGCAGAGGGATCTTGGGGTTCATGTTCACAGTTCCCTGAGAGCTGCCACCCAAGTGGATAGAGTTGTTAAGGCGTATGGTGTGTTAGCTTTCATTAACAGAGGGATTGAGTTCAA